ATCAGCCCAAAGTACTGGCAATCTTAGTGTAAAAACATCAGAAAAAAAATCATCTTTCATGTTCTCCAAAGTCTTATTTGATAATCAGTGAATGATAATGACCAATTATATCATGTGATCATGTTGACCTCATTGTTTGTGTTTGCAACAGACTGACTCAGCCTCATTCAGCTGGAAGAAGGCTCATCGCTGACATGCTTATCACGCTCCTTTATCTGTCGCTTCTTTTACAATCAGGTGGGTTTTATGTATTACCTTATAATGGATGTACTACCTAAAAGGGTGCTTGAATGGTTGATTTCCCCTGGCATTTACAGCACACATGTATTTATTTACATTTACAGTTCTGTATATTGACATAAGACATGATGACATTTTATCCTTTGTGCTGCAGGTCTCACGTTTGTACTTCTTCAGTCTGGAGATCAAATATGTCACCCAAGAGTCACAGTGACGTTGGATTGCACCATGAGTCAAGGGTTCAGCATGGGCAGCTACACCATGTTCTGGTACCGACAAAACCACTACGGCGCTCCAGTGGAGTTTCTCATCAGAGAGAATGACCAAACTGCGAGGCACTTTCAGTCGTCGATTGACACATCCAAAAACAGCTTCTCTCTGAAAATCACTGAGCTGTTCCTGAACGACAGCAGCATCTACTACTGTGCTGCCAGTCACAGTGATACATACAGACCAGACAGTCATACAAATAACAGTCTGTTACAGATGGCACACAGGCAGGAAGGAGCTGTGGTTTGTTTGGTTTTTATACTAAATTGGCAACTTATACAAGATAGTATTTGGTCACATCTTTAGAAAATTGCGATAGTGATAGAAGCAGAACTAGAGCCCAAACAACATATCTGTCAGTTGATGTTGGCCAATCACAGACATATTGGTATGTTATATGCTGGTATATAATGCAGAATAAATGTTTGTGGTAATATATTGTCACTGCAAAGTTTATCCAGCACTGTGATTTGCAAAACTGTGGCAAGCAGCAAAGAGAGGGGAAGCAGCTCTAGCAACTACAATTGGTTGACAATGTATACGTAAAGAATATCAGCCTTCTGAGTACCTGAGTCACAATGTAATAGAAAAGTTCTATTTTAATTTTCAGCTCAAAAACCTACTATATCGTCACCATATCAGTAATCCCCCATCGGGTCTACGTAGATGGGGCCTTTGACATTTTTTGCTCATTTTACAGCCACCATAGTTTCTCCTTAGCACTTGGAAAAGGATGGTTAATCGAATGAGTTGCAATCTGAAACTGCACTGCCAGATGCCACTAAATCCTACCTACACGTCCTTTGAGCAAGGCAGTCAAAACATGCAGACCTGTATGAATCTGTGAATATAAAGCGGGGGGAGGATCAGAAGTTCAGAAGCTTTGTTTGTAGCAGTACAGTGAGTTACACCTGCCACAGTTCAGCCAGGAAGAATAAGTTAGAACCATCTACATAATTTCATTGACTATTATGATTTTTTAAACTTTGATTTACTGCATTGTCACTGCAGTGATGATCTTCTTGGTTGTAGTTTTTTTCAACAAAGATTTTCTTGTTCACATTATTGTTTATTTTTCAGGATTTTTCCAGGATTCTCCTTCTGCGTGAAAGTCCACCAGCCTCCACATGTAATCAGCCCTGAAGGAGACCCGGCTGTAACTTTGCAGGGTGAACAAGATGACACTCAATATTTCTACATGTACTGGTACAGAAAAAGCAGCCAGGGGAATATACAGCTAGTAACTTATTCCCTTGGTAAAGATGTGTGGAGCACTGAAGCTCCGTTCAACAAGTACAAGTACACCATGTTACGGCCTGCAGTGCTTAATTTCTCTCTGCAGATACACAGTGTAAAAGCTGCAGACTCAACTGTATATTACTGTGCATCGAGTAGAGCACAATGGTTCACAAAGCCTCAACAGCTAAACAACATCAGGAACAAACCGGGAAGAGAAGACAGGGGGTAGGAATAAAGGAGGTGGGTTATCATTTTTTGAACTGAGGGGCAAACTCCACTAGCTCCTAGAAGAACTGCCGCTCCACTACACACCACAAACCTGATCGGGTCAGATAAATAAGCAGGTGTCGACATTATAAGGTTTGCAGTACATTATTGCCCTGTACAGTGCTTCTTCTGTGTCATTCTGTGCTCAAGTCTGCACTTCCTTATATCATTTAATTCTGTGTGCTGCCTCACGATATGAAAGTATATTAAGTTCAAGGGCTTATCATACACTGACATCTACAGGGTTCAAGCAGGATTACACAGTATGTTAAAGAGGTGGCAAGTCAAATGATTTTAACTAGGCTGCCTACATGTGCAGTTGTCTGAATGTGGTGGCGTTTGGTCTTGTTTGACGTCTCATAATGCATTTACTTTTATTAAGTAGAAATAAAGGGCCAGAAACTATTATTGCCAATCATTTATTTTAATGATAATATCATACAGGGACGGATACAAACTAACAGACTAATGCCACATGACATTAGCTAAATGCAAAGCTTATCCTTAGATTAAGTGTTATTTAACAAGAAATAACGTCACTGAAAAATATTTTGATATAGAGCTAATGGTGGAAGAAACAATACAAAGCACAAGATCTCTGTTTAAGTTAGAAGATATTTTGTTCAAGGACTTCATGCAATCCTGTATTATTGAATTTCCCTTGGGATAAATAAAGCATCTATCTACCTACCTACCTACCTACCTACCTACCTACCTACCTACCTACCTACCTATCTACCTAGTTGTCTAAAATATAATAAATATGGAAAAAAATTATCAAAGGAGTATTCAAATCTGGGGACACAGTAAGTTTATACTGTGGGTAACAGAACAATCTAGTGTAACATGAACCATTATGTCTTCATAATGGATAATTAAGGATGCATAATGACAATACTGTTTAGTGTAATAACATAATATTTTTCCTCTCATTACTTGTGAATATACTTACATAACTCAGAAACATGTTATACCAGTTATGAGACCATTATATAGATTTGATGTCAATTTGTTGCTGAAAGATTTTTGGCCACTAGGCAACAGAACTACCACAACAACAACTATTACACGTCCAGTAGCTACATAACAACAGTAGCATTTATTTGGTGAATTTAAGTCAAATATTCATGTTCCTTCAGCTCTGTTTTGGTCTCCACCAAGTCTTAAGGGAGATATCAGGTTCTCTAGCTCCACTATGTTCACCAGCTATTTGCAAACCTTGTTAAGTGTGCTGTTTAGTATTGGTACGTAATGAACACTGTGTTTGTCAGGGCTGTTTCACCAAAAATACCAAGAGTGATGCAGAAAGAATGGAACGAGCAATGTGAAGTAGAACGTTTTTCCTCAGTGAATGTGTCTCCTCAGTTTACTGATCACTGGGAGGATCAAGAGGTGTGACCAGCAGAGATGTCACTTCCTCTGAGGAGTGACAAACAAACAGCTTCCCTTCGTTCTTGCTTCTTTTCTTAGCTGTCACAGAAATAGCAGCAGTCAGGTTGGAGCTCGTTCAGCCCGACCTGTGCAGCTGCTCTCACACACAGAGAGAGATGGAGGCTGAGATATGGAGAAGCTGGGTGGGGGAAGGGGAGAGGAGCGAGCGAAAGAGACTTCAGGTTTTTGTGTGATGGTTTTTCATTGTGGGGACAGGGGGCCACGGTGATACAATCCCATAAAGCCGCTGTACAAAAACCTCCTGCCATTAACTCCCATTCTGTAGACAGCTACATGCTACCTGAGACACTTGTTAGAGCAGAATAATCTGAAGGTGTGCAGGATGGCAGGACATTCTGACATTGAAAAGTCAATGTATATGTAGGAAATCTGCAGGAAAGAATTCCAGTTGGTATGGAGCAGTTGAACGCTTCTTTTACTAATCTTCACAAAGAAAAATAAACTTTGGACATTATTTAGCTCATCCTGCATGTTTAGACATTCAGTGTGACACTGGATTTGAAGCTTACTTTGGAAAAGGAACAAAACTGACTGTTTTGGGTAAGTAGATGCTTTTGTAACTTCAGTTCACTGCAACAAACTTAAAATAGTTAAAATGTTGGTATGAAAGTGGAGGAAAATAGCTGTTATAAAAAAGCTGAATTATTGAGCTGAAGTAAAAACACTGTGAGCACCATTCAGCCTGCTTACTTTGGCCAAGGAACCAAACTGACAGTTTTAGGTAAATATTTCACTTTATTACTGTATTTTGATAGATGTCACTTTGCTTTAGAGTACCAGTAGAAACAGAAGTATGAGTTCATTTTGGTAAAGAAAGGCACAAGGGTTTCATGCTCAGTATTTCTGCACTGTGTCTATGGAACTGAAGCTTACTTTGGAAAAGGAACAAAATTGACTGTTTTGGGTAAGTTCAGGATGATTAAAAGTGTAATAAGTTTTGGTCTTCATAGTTTAAGTTCAGCTCAGTGCTTTTTGATATTAAGCCAAAGCGCTGTGCCAATTACGAAGCCTATTTCGGGCAGGGAACAAAACTGACTGTTCTTGGTAAGTAAGACTTTAAAGAAAGGATTTACAGAACAAAGACAGTTAATATAATAAATATTCAAAAGCATCTTAATGTAAATAAGGAATGTAAAAGCAGCATGTCATTTTGAGCACTGATAAAGTGCACTGTGATGCTGGTTCTTTCGAGGCTTACTTTAGTGGAGGAACAAAGTTAACTGTTTTAGGTAAGGAGTTATTTTAAATTAATCATTAATTAAATATTGTTTAGGCATGACTTTGTTAAGATGTTTCTGTAACTTAATTTACGCTATGGCTCAACTGACTCCTAACCACCAATGACTAAAGCATGATTATTGCTTTCACTTAGATAAATAGTATAAGTATATAGATGTTTCAGAGGTAAAGGCTAGCGAAGGAATATTTGACTCTCTTAGATTAAAGTTGAAGTCTTTACATGTCAAAGAGTGACAAAGCTGGAGTAATTTCAAAGAGGCTCAGATAAAGANNNNGGTTTTGTTACAGTTGAGAGTCTCCGTGCTCCTACACCGAGGCTTACTTTGGAGCTGGAACTAAACTCACCGTTTTAGGTAAGAAAACCTGCAACAAAAAAAACTATCTGAGCTTAACTTTGTATGTTAAGATTATGGGCAATATTAAGAATACATTTAATAGACACTTTATTTGATGGCAGTGAACAAACTACTCATTTTTAAAGTGTGAAATAAGTTTAGGAAGAAGTTAGTTTTGTGCCAGTAAAAACAAGCGTTGTCTATGTTCTCCAATAAAAGTAGAGTACCAGTAAAATATTTGGTTGAATGCCCCAATTACTACCCTTACAGCAAGTTCTTATCAGCTCGGTGAAACACTGTGAGCTTTCTGTCAGAAGCTTACTTTGGAGCTGGAACTAAACTCACTGTACATTATTTGATACATACCAACATAGTATGTCGTAGAAAAAATATACTATAGAAAATTCTATTAAAGTATAACGCTCCTAAATGTTCAAAATCAGTTTTATACTGTCGAGAAGAGATTTCATTTGGTTAAAGCACTTCTTCTAGAGTTACTGTGTGCAGTTAAACGTTTTTAGTTTAAATAAAGAAACAGTTCAATTAGTACTATAGTTCAGTCATCCTAGGCATTTGTGCTGTAGAAGAATTTACACCAGCCAACATTGTCTCATTTGCAAAATAGCATTTATTTACTTGCATTAGACAAGAACAAAAGGGAAAAAATTTAGGACTTAAAAAGTAAGTGGGACAAATGTTGATTGTGATTGTACTTTAGGTGTACTGGTTAAAAACTGGTGAAAAACTAACAAAGTAAACAACAGAGATTTAATCAGCCACATGTGGTTTAGCTGTGCGCTCTAGAAATTATCCTGCTCATTTTGGTAAGGTAACCAAAGTAACAGTTCTTGGTAAGATGACTGCAATAACATCAACTTTATCTGAAGAAAAAAACATGTTGAACAAGAGTACAAAAACCTGTGCTGACCATGTTGTTTTTGTTGATGTTAGAGGGAAAATTGTTTCATGTGGGTCTCTAAGGATTTTGACAAGGCTTTAATTTTGTGATTTATGTCCTTTGTCCTTGCAGAAAAAGACCCCAAGCCCCCAAAAGTGGAAGTTCTTCGTCCTTCGCCAAAGGAGTGCAAAAACGGACAAAGGAATAAGACCTTGGTTTGTGTGGCCACTGGATTCTACCCAGACCATGTCAGTTTATCCTGGCAGATCAACGGGGTTGGTGTCACTAAAGGTGTGGCGACGGACGAGGCTGCCCAGTGGATGCCGGGAGAGAGGTTTTACCAAATCACGAGCAGGTTGAGGGTCTCTGAGGAAGATTGGTACAACCCAAAGAAGCAATTCAATTGTACTGTCAATTTCTACAATGGAAGCGATACTGTCCCTTACATAGGTTCAATTTCTGGTAAAGGTATGTCAATTTGGAAATGAGAAATTATATAAACCTGATCTTTTTCCTATTGGAAATACGTGTAACTGACTTCTGTCCTTGTCTAATCCATTTCTCTGCTTCGACAACAGCAAATACCATAACAAGAGGTAAATATATTATTTTGTGGCTCTGTACATCTCAACGCTTCAACTCTAATAATACAGCCTAAGAAATGCACTCATGGTAGTATTTATGAGGCTTTATGTATAAACCAAGAGTAGCTGCATGTATAAACTTTCACTCATCTGAATGTGTGAACTTTCTGCAGGGGAATATTTGAAGATCACACAGTCTGCCAAACTTACATACGGTGTTTTCATCGCCAAGAGCTGCATCTACGGGGCCTTTGTGGCATTTCTGGTGTGGAAGCTTCAGGTTTGTTTTACGCAATGTAGCATTGGACATAAAAACAGCTTCTATACACTTTAATATGTGAATGACCATCACATAAAAAGAGCTCATGACACTGTGTCCTTTCTGTCTGCTGCAGGGTTCAAATGGAAAGCAGAACTACTGAGAGCAAATCAATTCTAGGAGATCTAGAAGAAGATGTTGGTTTCTGTAAATCAAGGTTGAAATCTTTTCACAAGTTTGTATATTGCAGTGCATTTGCATTTATTACTCAATTACATAATCAAATTCTGCTGAAATAGATGAAAAGTTCTATACATATTATTTTTTTATCTTAAAGTCGCTTTGGCATCACATAATAATTCTGTGTTTGTGGTTGTGAATTGCTTGTTTGCTTATTTTTTATCTAAATAAAAGCATTTAAAAGGATGTCATCAATTGTGTGCTTTCATTTCTCTAAATAGTAAGTCAACCACGACAAACCTGGGTTTTTTATTATTCTCATGACTTCTCTAGATAGTAAAACTTTATCTACCTAAACCAGGAAGGGGTGATTTAATTAAGAATAAGGCAGGTAAATTACATTAGTCAGTTGCTCTAAACTGTTGCCAACAGTGCTGATAACGTATATGCAGTAACATCTTCCATGAGGTATTTTTAGCTGCTCACTTATCTGCCGGTTTTCTGAGAAAAGCAGCTATTTTTCACCCACATACAGTATGTTAAGACATCTCAGCTCAGAAAACCTTCACAAGCAGGTTCATTTGGGTCTTAACACATTTTTCCAATGAGCAAACTGAGTTGAAACTTGAAACCGTGTAGAGGAGTGGAAAGCAACAGCAGAGGAGAGGATGTGGTCACAGAGCAGCCTGCAGATCGTTCTCTTTGCTCAGAAATGACGAAGGTGCAACCTTCCACTTTACCACAACCTCCGGCTCACACCTGCATCTCTGCACCAACCCCCCCGCACTGCACATCTCTGAGCAAACAGCTGGGGGAAAAAAAGTCCATTTCTGTGTCAACTGAAGCTATACAATGAAGATACATGTGTGTTATATTGCATTCAACAGCTGTTTACTGTGATCTGGTGCAGACATTTGCAAGTAGATAAGAAAAGTAAAATAGATTTTGTTGCAATCACAGACTAAAGACAACCATAACCAGTAATAAATATTAAACAATAATCTAAAAAAAACGGGGTTGTTTCATGAATCATCTTCTTGTGAACCACTATATATGATAAGACACAATATATTTGAATTAATAAATTATGGTCATTTACTACATGTATAAACTATTTATCAGTAAACACTCCAGTGAGAAACACATTGTACTTTGCCCAATAGAAAAACACGTTTGTGCTTCCTGATGTCAGATAAACAGGAAACAATGTCTGGGAGACCACAACAGAAACATGGCTCATCTGACATCTGTGAGCTACATAATTATATCTCCTCCTGCAAACCTTCATCTTTATATGTTCTACATCCAAATGTTAGAATAGAGAATTCCACTCTCTCTCTGCATTATTTTTACAACATTTTTGTACAACAATTTTTAGTAACTTGTAAGACCACCTACTCATTAGACCCACACTAGACTGCTGAGGCGGACTAGAAGACTCGAGGATGAAACCTCAGACCACCAACAGAAAACCACCATGCTGAGAGAAGTCACAGCCACACTAAAAAGGCACATTCTCAGTTTCTACTGGTTTTATTTGAAATCTTCATCACAACTGTGTTTAAAATTCATCAATGCTGAATTAGATCAAAACAAAAATGCAACACTTAGGGAGTAGGTTTTACCTATGGATATTAAAACCATCTTATAATACTGATAATTGTAATGTTGAGTATAAATGCATATTGTTCCTAACTCCTGATTATGGTTTTTCTGGATATTCAGAGTAGCCACACTTGTATTTCAGGACGTTTAAAAACCAGGCTGGAAGGTCTCTGTTTAACATAAACATTAAGTTCATTGCCTGTGTAGATAATGTTTGGTACAGCAGATTTTAATGACAAATTTTTAGTTGTATGTTTACTTGAGTAACTAGATGCAAAGAAAATGATAGACCCACATTCTCTGATGAAAGGAACTGAACTGACTGAATTTCATTTGTCATGTTGAACGAACCCTTACGGTGCCAAGTGAACATTAGGTCACGTGTAAGATTCATATACAGTAATACAAGCAAACACACATGTAAAACTCCAACTGTGTGAATTGCATCAGGTCTTGATGCTTAACAGTAATTAATTTCCATGTATTTGTATAGTGCCAAATGGGTTTTATGAATATAGATAGATAAGCAGAAATACAGAAAATACATTATATATCTAACCAAGATACATTTGGAGAAACACACACAGTATAAAATCAAATTAAGTTTATTTGTCACAACACAATCATACACATTACAACATATAGCAAAATTCTCGGGTGCCTACTAGCTCCAGAGCAAAATTAACAAATAGATAAATAAAATAAACATGGATCTAACAGAATAATCTATCAAATAGATATTATCAATACAAATATATAGTACAGTAAAAATAAAAGGTGGATGAATGAACAATAAAGGCTGCAAGTTTGTGCCTTTTTTAGAAAAATGAAACAACGGCTGCATAATGTGTTCTACAGCAGCACCACTTAAAACTGAGCATTAAAGGTGCATCAGGTGACAGTTATTGACCTCTACTGGAGACTCGGTGAAATAACAACATCAATAAAACTCGTTTCCAGTAGAAGTCTCTGGGAAAACATAATGAACACAAAGTACGCTGGTGTTTCATTACGGGTATGTTGTGGCACTGCTGATTGTCAAGTGGATAGTGTTAATACCTCCTTCTCCATCTACATGTTTAAGTCTTAAAAAAAAAGGTAGTCGATAGCCACTTTAGGGAACCCATTTAACTTATTGAACAGATAAAATGGAAGGATTTTGACAAAGTTGTCAAAAAGTCCATGTTTATCTACACTGAACTCAGATGTTTCTCACTTTTCAGCCATGTAACCTGCACTTTAAGAGCCTCATTATTTGGGTTAAGAGTGGTCCAGCACAATTTTTTGAAATATTAAAATCAAAATCGCATTATCCAAATTGGAGAAGGCACAATTTTTTGATAAAGGTAAAATGTGTGACAATACAGCATTATAATTAAGTGCTGTAGTGCTGCACAGATGCCGTGGCCTACAAATACTGTTCTCCAGATGTAAGAAAACATGTTTGTTTGGTACACACCCTAACAAATGTCACATGACCATGACTTCAATAGTTTTTGACGAATGAAAATTGTGAAGGAACAAACTGTGAATATCAAAGTATGATTTTACCATATTGTGCAGCCCTATTTAGGATTGATGGAACATTGACTTGTATGTAAGGCACTATTGGATGTTAAAATGCTCACATTTGTATGTAAATGTTATTATGTGTTTAGCATGATGGCAAAGATGTGACCAAGACTCACCTTGGACTGAGTTACAGCTGTGTCTGCTCCAGCTTTTATTGAGGGGCCGAACACGTCGAGACACCAGTCTGCAGAATTCAGCTGGCTGACTATCAGGGTGCCATCTGCTGGATGACCCTGTAATACGACAGACAGTAAAGGCCACTGCACACCGTTTTTTACGTCCAAAGTTGTTTAAAAATAAATGTGTCACTCATGCATACTTACCAACTCCTTTCATCCGTCATTAAAGTTTATGGAACAGTTTTGATGTTTTTCATTTATTCAGTCAGAGGGGGGCCTCTTTTCGCCACAGTGCCAAATGCAAGATGCAGGCAGAGAGTGGCAACAGACTGTGGAGGAACCTGCAAGGAAGGAAAAAAAGGGATGAGTGAGAGAGCGACAGCAGTGAGCAGACAGTTCCTTTATCAGCAGGGGAAACTCT